CCAACTCTTTTTTTTTTTTTTTTTTTTTGGGGAGGAAACAAGGCTAAAGAAGCCTATTAGAGACTCTGACCCAACCTTACCTTCCTAGACCCAATTACAGACAGATATGGGTTCCAAAAGCCTTACAACTCCCAAATGGAAAGAAATTGATGATCCTCATCTCTCCACGCCTCTGTAATTCTAAAGATAACACTTAAAGAGGAACAAGTACAAAAACAAAAGATAGAGAGGTTAAGTAAAGAAACAAATTTTGAGATCTGGAAATGGCGAGGGGAATTGGGGCATTTTTCATGGCCACACTGGTCATTTGGGTCGTCTCAGTATTATTCTTTATACTATTCAACAAACGCACCGAACTGCTCCCAATCGTTGCGGGCTTCATATTCTACCAATCAGCCAATTGGGTCATCCGCAATTTCTCATCCTCTCGTAATAATCCGCTCTTCGTTAACACCTCTGTATCTCTCCTCCACTCTTCTACTACTTCAGCTTCAATACTCTTCATTTTAGCCAATCAATGGATAGTTATGACGTCATCAAGTGACGTAATTAATCAGATGTTTGAGCACTCACAGCTTGTTGTGCACACGTGGCCGGGGGCGTACACAGCTTTGTGCTTTTCGTGTGGTTATTTTGCTTATGACCAATTAGATATGCTTCTCTATAATCTATATACTAGCCCTTCGATTCTGGTGCATCATTTGTTGCTACTTGTCTGCTTCACACTTGCCTTGTATAAAAATGTCACGATTAATTACCTTATTCTGACTCTAATTTGTGAGCTGCATTCTGTTTTTCTGCATCTGCGTAAAGTGCGACGAATGGCTGGTTTTCGTGATTCGACAAGTAATTTTGTGAAGGTAGAATGGGTTCTTAATTTGACGAGTTTTGTGGTAGCAAGAGTTGGATGTCATGTTCTCATCACTGTGAAACTGATTAGAGATGGTTCTAAGTTTGAAAAGGGTGGTGTGGAGCTTCCTCTTGCACTTTTTGGTATGGCTGGGATGAACTTGCTTAATGTTTTTTTAGGAGTTGATCTATTTAAAGCTTACAGGAGAGAGATGAATCCTCAGAGGAGGAGTTATGAGAATCATCATGATTGACAAGAGAATGATTTTTCCCATGTTCTATAAACAATTGAAGTTAATCGGCCATTCTTGTTCATAGTGGTTGAGAGGTCAAGAGTTCGAGGCTGGTAAGCTGCCAAACAATAAGGACTTTTCAGAAGATTTCAACTTAATGGCCGAACTCTATGACATTCTATCTAAATTTAGTGGATTTGAAATTATTATTATTTGTACTTATTTATTGAATTTTTCAGCACTAGTCTTAAGCCAAAATTACTATAAACGCGCAGCTTGTTGACTAGATTTGCATTTGCAGTGTTAGTGTACTTGGGCTTTGTTTGGCAATGCGAGTTGTAACTTTCAAAGTCAACATTCTCAAAGAATTTTATTAGGCACTATGACCGGGCGTTTAATTCCATGAATGTAGGTGTCATTTATTCTAACTGCCTAGCTATATTTATAAGAAAAAGTTGTAAATTTAAATCTTTCACAATTAGGAAATCCAAATGGGCAATAAGACTTATAGCTTTAGTCCAAAAACATTTGAGGCCTGAGATGAAATTATATCTGGAGAATGAAAGCAAGAAAATAACTGAGACAAGGGAATGTGCTTGTGGCACAGCTTTTAATGTACATTCTCATAGGAATAAATGAATAATAGCTGATAGTCTCGCTCTTTCAATTAGAATATCACAATTAAGAAATCACTTACAAACAACAAAATCAGGTGCCCAGGAAGGGAAAATATAATGTGTAAAGGTTCAGCATTTTCACAGAAAGAGGACAAATGCCGCAACTATCAACACTGCATGAGATATTAGACCAAGCCCAGAGATTAGGTTTGCTGAACTGGTATCTGGCGTAAAGCTTCCCTCTGGGTTGTTTGTGGTCAAAACTACTACTACCCAGTTATCATCAGAACCAATTCCAACACCACTAAACTTGGTATCATTGAGATAATTAGAGTACTGAGACTTCGTGTAGTTGGAAAGAACGAGGTCAGAGACAAGGTTGGGAATGCAAGCTGGCATTATCATTCCGTCTCTTGTGGTTGTGGCGTTCAAGTCGCATTTAGAAAGGAGTTTAGGATAGTCAGAAAACTGAGGTTCGGTGCCAGGTACAGTATTGGCACCTGTTGTATTTGTACATGGTTGATCTTTAAACTGGTCAGCCATTTCATCAGCAAGGCATTTTGCTTTGTCATTCTCGCGTAGAGCTGTCAAGTTTAGGGATGCCCTGTAGCTGTTAATACCTCGAAGAAGGTTGTCTTCCTCGTCTGCACCAAAGTGTCAAAGATGAAACTCCCAAGTGCAGATAATAAACTATATAAAAGATTAACAAGTAGGTTCTAAGGAGGTATAACTTCTAAAGGAAACCTAAACTGCACTCATAATATGGTGTAGAAGTGAATCACAAATTGATAAGATGTTCATAAAATGTTACAAAGCGGGAACAGGTGGTCACGTGTTTCCACTAGTAAACATGATACACCCTCTCTCTCTTTTGACACCAAAAAGAACCAAAAAAAAAAAAAAGAAGAGAAAAACAGAATTATTCGAAGCTGAAAATAAGTTTCTGCTAAAAAACCCTTTTCACATTTCAATTATTGTCTATTTCTCAAAGCACAACATTAGCAAACTCCGGCCTCCTATGTCCGAGGGAGTTTGGAGTTGACTTGCTTGAGATACTCGTTAGTAAAAGTGCATATTGGTCAAATGAATTTCTCAAATGACTATGCCTTTCCTTTAGTGGAGAATGGTAGAAGATTGGTAAAAATGATCTACCGTGATCTAAGCATATGTTTGATACATATAATGAGCACAACTGGCTTAAAACCATTCATCCACTGAATTTCGAAAAAGTTCTGGTATCTCGGTTAAAAACCATACATCCTGGGGATTTCTGGGTTATCAATGGAAAAAAAAGAAAAAGAAAGAACCTCCGATAGAAAAAACTGACTGGTGTACATATGGCCCGTATATCACTGAAGATGGAGAACCTACAGATCAGATCTCATCACTTATGAAGAGATTAAGTTATATCAGTTGAACCCAAAGGATTGTTCCCTTAATAGAGCAAATGCCATTTTACTAGTGTAAGTTTTGCAACTTCCAAAATAAGGAAGTATTCCTCATTGAGAAGAAAATTGCTTGCAGTGAAAACCAAAAGTCATCAATCTAAAATAAGATTAGCTTTGAATTCAAGTCATAGAACATTTCCATTAATCAGAATACCTCTCCATAAAACCAGGCAAAATTTTCAGCAATTCCCACCCGTTTCTCACATTCCAATTCTGATATGCTAAAGAGGACAGGTCAGCCAGTTATAAACTATTTTTGATCAGTTTCATTTAGCTCAAGTAAAGATCTTGATAATTACTAAAAAAAGGTGATAATTAAACAAGTTTAGAGGCAAATCCCCTAAAGCCCCTCCTAATGTAGGTGAAAAATTTTACGCTAAAAATCCTTGTAGTACACTAAAACATGCCAATGATCTGAAAAGAATAACTGATTTCCAGAACCACTTTAAAGAATGACAACATAAAAGCAGAGATCTGTCTCATTCATCAAGTTTGATTAGCAGATCTAACCCTAATGGTAATATAATCCACACATATATACTTCAATAACTTAATACTAACGCTTGCTCAAGAAAAGCTCAAAACTTCTTAAATTTCCATATATAAATTGGTGTACCAGAAACTTAAGTGCACAATCAGAACACAACAACTTTAGTACTACAACTAGCAAGCTAAATAAAGAATATCAAATTAAACTAAACCACCCCAAATTTTTCAAATTACAAAATCTTGAAATGGGTTACTCAGTGAACTGTGAAACAGCAATACAAATCCAGATCTTTAACCCAAATGAAACAATAGAGCTAAACTGAACAAGCTCAACACTTCAAATGGACAACAGGAAAAAAATCCCATTTAGGAATCAAATCTTAAAATTGAAACAAATAAAGATATGATGAAGGACAAGTGATAATAAAAATTAGTAACTTTGACTCAAAATCAAGAATTCAGCAAAAAATAAAAAATAAAAAGGTGAAGAGTTTACCATCACATTTGACAATGGAGAAGAGAATGGAATGAACAAGAAGAAGAGAGATGAAAAGGTAACGTGGAAGAGACGCCATTTTTATTCTTACTGAATTGATGTTCCTACTTGATTGAGTTTGAGCTTATTGGTTATTTTATAAGAAAGGAAGAGGAAGAGGAAGTTTATATATGGGACAGAAAAGTACACCGAATTGGAAAGCGGCATGCCGACGCCCGAGAGATACGGCGTCGTACTATTTGCTCTTATTTTCTTCCAACATGTTTTGTTTAAAAGAAAGTTGGAAAAAACAAAAAAAGGAAAAGGAAACGACATTAATGGTTTTGATGATGAAGTCAATATTTAGTGCTTGGTTGCTAGATTAAAATGGGGAAAATGACTTCTTTCGCTTATGAATAGATGTTATTTTTCATATAATAATTTACTTTTAACTTTATATTACTTGTATTATTTTTCATATAATAATTTACTTTTAACTTTATATTACTTGTTCTAGTATAAATACCTTTCAATTTGCTAATATTATTATTAAATTTAATATACCTTTTTCTACAAAATATTTTTCTCTTGCCAACCAAACACTGATCCCAAAATTCCGTGAAAAATAACTTTCTTCCTACCACTTAATTAGTAAATGTTACTTATATTATTATTAATATTTGATATATATTTTTCAAAAAATATTTTTCTATCACCAACCAAATACTGATCCAAGAAATATATTTTTCACAAAAAATGACTTTCTTCATATTAAATACACAGTTAATTAGTGAAATTTCTCATTTACTAACCCGATTAAATTGATAGTCTCTTTAGTATCATGGGCATAAAACATGAAAAAGGAAAAAAGGATTGTCATTTTTTAATGACAGTGTTGCTTAGGCCAATTTTATAGTTGTATAGAATATATGTTCAAATAATTTAGTCAATGGAAAAGTTCGTGCGGTCTTGCACTATTAAGCGAGAAAAAAACTTATGGAATACACTTTTAAATACATATATCCTTTGTTCACGACTTCTTCTTGTGATAATTATGCTATCTTATTGTTGCTTATTTAAAAATGAAATAAACTTAGAAATCCAAGAATACTGTTCAAAAAATTCAAAACTACTGCTTATGATATATATCACAATAGTTAATGTCACACCTCCTTTTTCACTACACCCCCGAGAAGGAGTGTATAAGGAAGTTTTTTTCCAACTTAAAGTGACAATCGAAACGGGATTATTTTATTTAAACTCAGAGTCGCCACTTGGAATAATTTTATGGTGTCCCAAGTCACTAGTTCAAATCCTGAATCGAGGAAAAGATTGACTCTGTATTATAGTCCGCGAACACAGAAATCCGGGTAAGGAATTCTGTTAACCCGAAAGAAGGTGTTAGGCATTCCCGAGTTCCGTGGTTTCACCACGGTCGCTCAACTGTTTTATTGGCTTATTATCTGATTTTAACACACTTTTAAACCTATGTGTATTTTTAACTTTAGAACCGCTTTTATTTATTTAAAAAATTGATTCAAGGGTATTTAAAACACATCGCAAAGCCGCGCTACATGAAATGCACCCGTGGTTCACGACACGTTCTATTTAACCTTGTTGGAAATTAAAACCAGGTCACATGAAATGCACCCCCGAATTTTAGAAATTAGGCATCACAACTACGTCACGGGAACCGTACTCGTAGCCATGACAATTTTAGTGATCGCACCTAAAGCAAGCTACGATGTTTATGAATATATTTTTTTGAGTTTAATTTTATTCACGTAATCTAATTCAAACTAAAATCAGAGCTCGACTTAATCATTATCAGTATCCAAAATGGACTAATTCAAAGTCGGGCACGAAAGCCAAGCGCTAGCATCACGATTTTACGGATTTAAAGCATTTGCATACATGGTCATAATCCCATTTCGATATTTTAATATTAGGAAATGGAAATCATAACCAATGCATTCATCACAGTAATCAATTAATTTCAACAGATATCTGATACTAATACTCGATATATTCTCCAACAGATATCTAATACTAAACCTCAACATATTTTACTAGACCATTTCATTCAACATATATTTACAAGTTAACCAAACAAAACAAGTACGCGATCAAGAATGTTGTTCACATTGAAATGATCTTACGTGTTAAGGACTACTATGTCTCTATTGAACTTAAGAGTTCAAGAATGAAGCCAACATGAAGAAATCAATAAAGTTGCAGCTTAAACAGAAGCCTTATGCAGCAATTTAATCCAAATCAGTAAA